TACGTTGTCTTGCAGTTTCACCACAAGTGGTTGTCTTGCTACGTTGTCTTGCAGATTTCACCACAAGTGGTTGTCTTGCTACGTTGTCTTGCAGATTTCACCACAAGTGGTTGTTTTGCTACGTTGTCTTGCAGATTTCACCACAAGTGGTTGTCTTGCTACGTTGTCTTGCAGATTTCACCACAAGTGGTTGTCTTGCTATGTTGTCTTGCAGATTTCACCACAAGTGGTTGTCTTGTTACCCTTTCTTGTTTGTATTACTTTGGAAAATGTTTAAACATTATTCTTTTGGCTCACAGGTATTTTTCCGGGAAAGTGAGCGCACAAAACTCCAGGAAATGTTACACAAGGAAGTACTGAGAAGAATCATGTTTATACAACGAAGGGTTAAAGCTGTGTTGAAGAGAAAGCGCGATCAATTACTACAAGCAGCTACCATTACGTTGCAAGTAAGTATTTCTGATTACATCTCAATCACTGACTTGGTTTTTCCTGACATTAATATATAGTTTTTATCACATAAACAGTTATTTAATGTTAAATGACTAAAATGTCCTATTATTCTTCTCTTGATGTGTTTTTTTACTCAAAATGTCATTTTTTAGCTTCGCTGTCGACTTTGTCGAGCGGAGCTTATCATATGAGTGATTGTTCGTCATCGTCTGTCGTCCGTTGTCCGTGTCAATGTTTTACTTTTTCGATTTCTTCTTCAAAACTATTAGCCTGAATGCTTTGATACTTGGTGTATATGTACCTTGGGTAGACCTCTTTTAGATTTGTTCATTTCATGATGATATCTTCAATTCTCTAATTTTGGTGAATATTTTTGTCATTTTTGGTAAAAAGTGATATTTTCGACTTCTTGTTAAAAACCGCATGTCCAATTGCTTTGATATTACATATATAGGTACTACATGTGGACCTCTCTCAGATTTGTCTATTTCATGATGATATCTTCAATTCTCTAATTTTGATGAATATTTTTGTGATTTTTGGTAAAATGTGATATTTTCGACTTCTTGTAAAAAAACCACAAGTCCGATTGCTTTTATATTGCATATATCGGTACTACATGTGGACCTCTCTCAGATTTGTTCATTTTGTAATGATATCTTTAATTCTCTAATTTTGGTGAATATTTTTGTAATTTATGGTAAAAAGTGATATTTTCGACTACTTGTTAAAAACAGCAAGTCTACATATTGTTTATTTTCTAATGATATCTTTTGATCTTTAATTGAAATGTGCATTGCTAACAGCGGAGCTATCTCAGCTGACTGGTTTTTGGTGAAAAGTGATATTTTTGAATTCTTGTTGAAAACAGCAAGTCCCATTGCTTTGATACTATACATATTGTTCATTTTTCTAATGATATCTTATGTTCTATAATTGAAATGTGCATTGCTAACAGTGGAGCTATCTCAGCCGACAGGCTGCTTGTTTATAAAAATTACCAAGATTGTGTTATGAAAAAAACAGAATGTACATACACATAATTGTTAAAGTAATACAGTAATGTAATTTGACACTAAAACTTTTTAAAAAATTACAATGCAAAATGCTCACTATACTAATTTGTTATTTTACAGAGCACAGAAGTGAATTATTAAATTCAAATCAAAAGTTTTGTAGAAACAAGTATTTTTCAATTTGTTCCTTCTTACCATTTAAAAAAACCTAATTGGTTAGCCTTCAGGTGACCCATGAATTTATGGACCGGTTTGTAATATGAATAAATTGCTCTCACATAGATTCTTATTTTCACAATTATAACAATAAAATGTGTTATTCTGTTGTTGTTTACAGTCTGGTGTGCGAATGTTCCTTGCAAAGAGACAGTTGTACAGACTGAAGGAACAAGACATGGCTGCCTGTATCATCCAGTGTTCCTGGAAAACTTACAAACAGAGAAAATATTATCTTAAACTGCGTACTTGTATCGTATGGTTGCAGTCAATGTACAGAGGGCGCTGGGCTCGATTAAAGTAAGTAAGACGTACCAACCATTTGAATGGAAATAAGTAAATACAGGACTGCGAATGTATTGTTTGGTTGCAGTAAATGCACAGAGGGCGCTGTGCTTGGTTGAAGTCACTGGTATGTGAATGTTCATTATCAAGTTGGCACATAGAAGATATATTCCTAATGAAATGAACGTGTTTTCATATTGATTATTATTTGATAGCTTATTTGATATTTATTTTTGACAGATGTGATGAACTACGGAAAATGAGAAGAATGTTAGAGGAGGCAGCAAGGCAGCGACAGTTAGAGGAAGAGATGCAGAGGATAGAAGCAGAGAATGAAAGAAAGAGAAAAGAGGACGAAGAAAGACAGCTGAGACAGAAAGAAGAAGAAAATGAAAGAAAAAGACAAGAAGAAGAAGAAGAATTAAAACAGCTGGAAGTGTTGAGTGATGAGGGTGTCTTAACTAGGGATTCATCTCGAGAATTGGACGATATTGAATACATTGATAAAGAAATGGGAAATTTATCAGATGAGTAAGTAGTTATCAGTAATTATGTGTCTTTTGGCTTCAGATAAATGCTGGCATGGCTATTATGGGTGTACATCAAATTGATTTAAGCTAGCATGACCATGCCATAACCGACCTATGTTTGTTTTCTGCAGAAGCAGTGGTGTTATTGAAATGGGTTCCTCAGAATCTGAAGAGATTCTTGTAGAAGACGATGTGCATATAGAGTTAGACACTGGTGGTGTGGATGAAGGAACATCTCAACCAGTCTTAATATTCTCCAAAAGTCCTCCTTCAAGTTTGCCAGAAATACAAACAACTAGTACGCCTTTGAAAGAAAGTGACACCAGTATAGATACTGGGTTGAAACGTTCTCTATCAGTCACTTCACCTACTATTAGACATTTTGTAGATGAAGAGGATGACAGACCTAAGTCAGGCTCCATTAAGTAAGATATTTGTTGACTTCTCAGTATCTAAATATGTATTTCTTATTTAATTGAAAACATGCTGAACTATTGTGCATACTGTAAAATGTTTTATTTTAGCTGGAATTAATTTTCGCTGAAAAGAGTTTTTGGGTGTTTTGTTTGGAATTTAATAAGATGAATGTAAAATATAGGAAAAAAAGTTATATTTGCTGGATTTTATTTTCACTGAATCATTCCTTTAGCAAAAATAACGAAAATTAATTCAAAGTGAAAATAAAGTATTTCACGGTGCAAATGATTAATTAACAGGTCAGGTTGTGTTTTATATGAGTATAATTTTTTTATAAATTATTTCCTCTTTTCACAAGTGCACGCTGATAGAAGTACATATACTGCTGAATAAAAAGTTGTATATGAATAGATACACCTTAATTTAAGTAAAAAATGGTAAAAAAAGTATGTGCATAAATAAGGTGCATGTTGATTTATATCTACACCTTGATATAACACTCGCACAAAACAAATATGTTAGTTTGGTGTTCAGTGAATACATGTGTTTGCATATAGGGTATCTGAGATGGCAAAGGCATACCAATGTGATATTAAAAAGAAGATGACAACACCAGATAGAGTTATACCACGGCCGGAAAGAGTTGCTAGTATTACAAGCAGAATGACAAAAGAACCAACTGAACAAGAACAGGAGGTGAGAATTAAACACAATTCTTATGCTACTCATTTAACTACACAAATTAAGGTTTTCTTTTAGCTGACTTTTAGCATAAAATTATATAACAGTATACATTTGGTGTAGTTGTATATCAAACACTATCACTATGTATAACCAGACATTTTAGACAAACTATATTATTAGCTCCGCTGTCGACTTTGTCGAGCGGAGCTTATCATATGAGTGATTGTCCGTCGTCGTCCGTGTCAATGTTTTCCTTTTTCGACTTCTTCTTGAAAACTAAAAGCGTGAATGCTTTGATACTTGGTGTATATGTACAGTACCTTGGGTAGACCTCTCTTAGGTTTGTTCATTTCATGTTGATATCTTCAATTCTCTAATTTTGGTGAATATTTTTGTAATTTTTGGTAAAAAGTGATATTTTCGACATCTTGTTAAAAACTGTAAGTCCGATTGCTTTGATACTATACATATTGTTCATTTTCTAATGATGTCTTCAGTTCTTTAATTGAAATATGCATTGCTAACAGCAGAGCTATCTCAGCCGATAGGCTGCTTGTTTTATATTATCCAGGCTGGTTGGAGAATACATCTGAAAAGCAAGGACCTGTTTTGAAAAACAATTTAAATTAGCATTTTTGCACAGAATAGTTTTTGTGGTTACCCTGTCTGTATCTCCATTCCATAATTCAAAAACCAATCATTGCATTTCCATAAAACTTACCTAAGTTGCATTATAATATTCAATGCTCAGTGTTTCCACCGATATCTCATGTATTAAATAATCATATGATTTCAATAGATGATCTTGGACAATTGCAAAAACTTGAATAGTTTTAGGTGTTATAATTTGGGCACATTAATTACCTTATTTGCATATCAATTTAGTTTTTTAGCATTTCCATCGATAACTCAAAAAACCAAACATTATTACAGTTATTTCAATTGGTACACAGTTGCCCAGGAATAATGCACAGACCTTAATACCAATACCTAAATTGCTTAATAATTAATCGATTGTCAGCTTTTCCATTGATATCTTGAAAACTAATTATTGCATTTCAATAAGACTTGATACATAGGTGCCTGCAAAAATCCTTAGTCTGGGATTCAAATTTCTACATTCTAATTTAACTAATTTGCATAATTAGTCAACTTCCACTACTAAATGAAACTGATATATTTAGTTTTCAATAAAAGTAACCTAAGATGACTGTTTGCCAAAATTTTTCTTGTGCAATTAAAGTTGTTTTCTGTGCCTTTAATAATTGGTGAAATATTACATGTCTATTGTATTATTTACAGCTCAAGCCAGAAACAGGGAGCAAACCAAAGATTCCACTTTCACCAGTCACTGCAATGACTTTTGAACATGCAATACAGGACTGGGACACTGATGAGGATAGCGACCATGGCAAAAAACCTGCAGTACAGCCAGAAGAGATGCCACGAAGTAGACTTTTCTGGAGACGAAGGAAAGCGAAAAAACACAGTGACCCTGGTAGTGGCGTTAATCAAATCACTAAGCCCAAAAATAAGACCAAGGGTTTGGCTGAGCGCAGAGATATCATAATAGAAGGGTCGAACATTGCAAGGGCATTACCGTTAGCAGGTTTTAATGTTACAAGTACGTCACAGTGGAGGTATCCAACTAATAAACTCATCAGTGAACCAAGTGATTTGAAACAAATGGATGACTTCCTCAGTGCCAAGGTGAGATTTAAATATATTGATTTTTGAAGAATGTTTTATATGCTGTCTTTATATAGTTGGATATGTTTGAATAGTGTCGCATGTTACTAATTTGAGTAACTGAAAAATTGTTTTAATTTGTAGAGAAATGAAATCAATCAGAACAGTGGAAAACGTGACACAATAGTTGATAAAGTCTTTAAGAAGGCCATGCAAGAATACCATACAAGTCTGGTTACGACGTATTCTGTTGCTATGCAGGTAATCTATTTGTTAAAATCATTATGTTTATGTGAAATTTTTCGGTGAGAATACAATGATATAATTGTCAGATACTATAAGGTAATTGTGTGAATATTGTAAAGTATACATGAACGGAGTTTAGTGGTCGACCGACGCATAGGGAAGGTTGTTACTGTATAACCTGAATACATACTTTGATAATTTTATTAGTCCCCGCTCGGACACAGTCCAAAAATGGGGACTTATGGATTGATCTCTGTGCGTTCGTGTGTTTGTATGTGTGCGTGTACATCCGGACATGTGTCTTAGATATGCCTGGACCAATTACATGCAAACTTCACACATACATAATATTATACATATGTACATCAATTTGTTTCACGATCTGATTCAAGATGGCCGAATGGCAGTCATTTTTGTACTTAAAAATCATCAAAATCAAGCATCTCTCAGCCGTTTACAGATGGATATTGTTTAAACTTGGTATATACATTAGACATTTTGGGACCTTGATGCAAATCATTTCGTTTTTCAGATAATATTCAAAATGGCCAACTGGCGGCCATTTTGTTTTAACGAATGCGGTTCTAGTGTCATATCTCTGACTTGCTTCGACTGATTATGTTCAAATTTTAAATATTAGTTATACGTACATCATGTCATAGATATACAGACATATTGGTTTGATGATCCTATTCAAAATGGCCGAATGGTGGCCATTTTTTTGCTTAAAAAATCATCAAATATCAAGCATTTCTGGCATTTATGGATGGACTTTGTTCAAACTTGGTACATACATTAGACATTACGGGTTCCTGATGCACATCATTTTATTTTTCAGATCGGATTCAAAATGGCTGACTGGCGGCCATTTTGTTTTAATGATTGGGCTTCTGGAGCCATATCTTTGACATGCTTTGACTAATCATGTTCAAATTTTATATATTCGTTATGCACCATGTTATATATATATATATATATAGACATGTATTCAAAATGGCTGATTTTGAATGCTGTTCCAGAGCAATATCTCAATATGGACAAGTATTGTTTTGACGATCAAATATAAAAAATCATATTCCTGACATGGTTATATTCCAGCTATATTACTATAAACAAAACTATATATCTTCAATTTGATAACTAACGGGGACTGTGCCATGCATGGCTT